CAACTAGTTGCTGTATCATATTTTCTGGAGTGGAATATCTACCTTTGAATTGCCTTTGATTCCTCTCCAACCATATTGTTATAACAGATGCAGCGGAACAGAAGAACAAACAAGAATAGACAAGAACAATTTGGGGGAAATCAGATTTTATTAGGGTTGTAATCGGAATAGTTTACAGACTAATATAAGGTGTATATATATACAACCAAACAGACTTGACCCAAAATAGGCCCAAAATAAGACCCAAAATAAAACAGACACGGTAACTAATATATACCGTAAGCTTCGGGGGCGTTGCCCCCGAACCCCCACCGGGGGCAACGCTGCCCCCCGGGCCCCCCAGTCGAGGCGCATCGCCCCCTGGACCCCCGACTCGCTGACCGGGCAGCGAGACCCCCGTACAGCTCAGCGGGGGTTGAAGATCTAATTCAAGACATCTCAACACATATATTGTTCTGTATAAAGTTACTCTACAAGCCGTAGTAACAAAGTATTGTTCTGTATAAAGTTACACCACCAAGAAACTTCATCTCTCCAACCATATATACCTCTATAGATAGAACAAAACTGCTGAATTCATTCCCATACATAAGCTGAGCCCGGATAAGTCAGAAATAAACTAAAAAACTTGGGTCTGTTTGCAGCCCTAGGTAGAATCATGTTAGTATTCAGCTTTTTATGCCAAATCTTAAAAATCTAACAAGGGATTTTTTTATTTTTTTTGAGCCCTAACAAAACTGATCTTAACAAGGGAGATTGGAAGAACAAACCTTGAAATTCTTCAACTCTATTAACCTGTTTTTCTTGTCTATTCTGTATTTGATAAAAGAACCCGATTTTACTGAAACATGAGAAACACAACCAGCATTATGGTGAAAAGTAACTTTGAAACCTATGAATTGAAAGTATAAGTGTCTAATTCATTTGTTTCTAGCCAACTAGAAAACACCACGTGTGTTGCACATTATAATAAAATTTAGCACTGACTTGTATCTATTTAGTTAATACAAATTGATTAATTAACATACTAATTTAGAGAACCAAAACATTTTCTGGCTTTTAGCAAAGAAAAAGAAGTGTGCTTAGAAGCCGTACTAACACAATACACGTGTGGAGCAGTCATCTTAATTAGTTATATGCTTAATTAAACCTAAGGCAATATTTTTTCTTTAGATTACAATTAGGATTTTTATTGCTTCCTTATTATAGAGTAACATTCAACAAGCTTAGGTTTAAGCAACTGCTTATTTACATATTATTTTTCTTTCCAATCACTAAATCTGACACGTCTAGTTTTCTTGAATTGAGAATTAATAACTTACGGAAATGCAAAAGCGACAGGAACTTACAATAGTACAAAAATTCCAACTCACTTTGACTTATAAAAAAAAAAAAATCAAATAGTAAGCATTAATAGGATGGTAACGAGAGTGAGTGCCTGCCCCACAGGGCATGAATGGGGTGGAGGTTGGGGCATCAGGAATTTTTCTCCCCCCACCTCAAATATGGCGGGAATAGGGGAACATGGAGCTACCCCATCTCCCTGCCTCGCCCCCCACCTAAATTTTAACATAGTATAACATCTACGCATGTTTTTATACGTAAAAGATGAAACAAATGCTATGTTATTGTTATATTTATAGTAATTAAGTAATATGTTATGTTGTTATGATAAAATGATGTAATATTTTGATAAAATTTCAAAAAAAAATTAATAAAACTATTATTAAATCTACATAAGTAAAATTGCTTCCGCTATGCACATCATTTTTCATGCCAACAAGTGATATCAGAACTCTAGACTTTGATCCTGGGGCTTGTTCGCAAAACTAGGCCACAAGAATAGAAGATTTGTTTTTGATAATTTGGACACGGAATTGGTCCTAATTGAGTGGAGATAAAATAATTGAAGTATGGATCCGTATTATTTACCACGTTGTGGTGTTTTTATCTTTGATGGTAAAAATGATTTTGAGATTTAGAGTTTGATGATGGAAAGATTTTTTCGAGTTATTGGAATTTGGAATATTGTTGAGAAGGGATTCATACAACATGTACAAGACACGAAATTATCAGATGATGCAATTAAAAAGAGGAATAGACAGTTACACTATCTCAACACTCAAGTCCAATTACATGTAGCGGATAAATTCATACATGCAAAAACAACAAAGGAGGCTTGGAAATTTTTGATAAATTCCTATGGTAATGGTGGAAAAGAAATTTGTGATGAAGAAGAAGAAAAAGAATACTTTGATGAGTCAAAAGAAGAAGAAATTATAAAAGTTGTGAGTGCACATGGAGATGAAAAATTTATGATTCAAGAAGAAATTTCACATGTGGTTGAGGACAAAGGTGAAGTCATTGATGAAGTTAAAGATGTGCCTGAAGATCATGGCAACGTAGAAATTGTTAATTTTATCAAGATTGATAAATTTTATGAAAAGAAAAATCAAGTGATGGACTTGATTAAGATCAATTGTGAGGTGGACAAATTAATTGAACGTTGTAATAATGCTAGAGTTGATGCAATTGTTAGTGTGAAAAATGTAAAGGAAAAACATGGTGATGTTAAAAGCATTGGTAGCGACAACTATGATTTTGTGGTTTTGGGAGATTTTCTTGGTGACATGGAAGAATTAAATTATGGAGTATGTAATGGAGTATGGGTGAACATGATTGAATTTTTTGACAAGAGTGATCAAATGAAGAAACTGTTTGAGATGTATAAGTTTTGTCCACTATCGTGCGTGAAGATGAAATTGAAGATCAATTATAAGTTGGGGTTGAATGCTGTTTATACCGCGATTGAATTTTTCATGGAGATTTAAACTCGATATGGCATTAGAGATGACAACATCAAGAGCTTGGTTTAAAGGAGGCAATAAAGGAAATTAAACCAAGTTATTTTAGAATTTAGTTTCCTAATTTTTTTTTTTGGTGACTTATCTGTTTAGTTTCCACATTAGATTAGAAAATCTCAAGCTAGTTTTCAAGTAAGTTTTGGTTTACAATTATAGTTGTTTTAGGAAATATTTCAATTTATAAATACTATTATAAGTACTATCAATCTAGTAAATTGTTATTTGAAGAGTTGAGTTGAAGAGTCAAGTAGAGTCTTGAAAAATACATTTGAGAGAAAGTTTTATAGTTGAGATTTGTGAGCTGTCGTGGGTGAAATGCTTTGAATTGATATTTGTTATTGTTGAGTTTTAAATTAAATAAATTATTAAGCATTTATTCTCCTCCTGTTCCCACGTATTTTTATATGTGTTAAAATTGATTCTGCTGTGCACGTAATTTTTCATGCCAACAAATCTGCATTACACGGTTATGCGTACTTACTCGAGTAATTGTAACGATTCACTTCATTTGCATAATGTACTCTTTTTTATAACTTTGTATAAAAACAGGTAGGGATCTACATCAAACCCCACTGTTTCTAAGTGGTTTCTTATTGGAAAAATGAAATTTAAGCCCGAATATGACTCGAAGAAAATTTGAAATATCATGAAAAACAAAAGCTCTGTTTTTGCAAAACTTAGACGGCAGGTGAAAAGGAACAAATGACCTATAGTTCACGGGCTGTAGTTTAATTTGCCTAAGATTCAATTTCCAGTAATTTGTTTTTGGTGAGATTGCCCCATCCATTCCCCATTTTCTATACATCAAAAAAGTTATTGCAATAAATGAAATTGATTCTCTAAGAGCTTCCATAGACTGTGCCAGGTCAAATAGGAAAACAGGTAAAACGTCAAATTTGCTTGCAATTATTTGATTATTCGCAAATTGATTATAATTTTCTTGTAAAATATATCTGCACCTTTGTTACACTTTTGTGTGCCATAAAAGTTTGATTTGCCTGTCTTATTTTTCCATAATATCAACGTTTTATTGTTTCGATTAGCGTTTAAACGTTGAATTAGTAATTATAAATGTGAAGCAAATATTATGTTAATATGCATATGAAGTATGATATGATGTATGTGTACATCAATCCATCCCACAAGGTTACTATAGAATTAAGAAACCAAGCAACACGAAGATCACTGTCAAACGATGGTACTTGCATCCACCAACAATTCTTTTAACTGTATATATATACAATATTATTCGGTGCATACATGAACACGTAATTAGTTGGACCTATAAAAGATTTTAATTTCTTTTGAGAAATGTGGCCACTCGAAGTTTGACTTTTACTTTGATTTTGAACCGTCTTGCCATCTCGTGATCAATTTTCCATACGTTTCGTGTTCTTAAGACCCAATGAGTAACTACTGACTTTCTCCAGAAAGATGTGTACTTATTGCTTGAGATTATAAAAGAAGTAGAATGGTCATCTTCTTTTCTAGAAAAAGCCCGTGCATAGACGCAATGCCACTATGCAGGAGCAGGTGAATCAACATGCTTATTTGAATGGAAAGCAGAGATAAACCAAAATCTCACACCTGAAATATAGGCAATCAAGTGTACCAAATAGTTCTTGAGCACCAATGCTTATTTAAGACAATCAGAGGAAAACGAACTTGGAATCAAAATAAAATAAAATAAACCACTTTATTTCAAACATATATATGTAGTACAAGAACAGGCCATCATAAAGGCAACAAAACGATACAATTGGATTCACAACAATATTGAAGCACAAAATTAATGTACTCCTCCAAAGCAGGTAGCTCTGCCTATAGTTATTCTTTTAGAGAAAAAGAAAAAAGCAGGATTATTGAACTGAATGGCTGATCACGGATTTCTTTTTCTGAGATTTTCTGGATAGGCAGTTATCACTTTGGAGGGTTTCAGTAAAATGACAAACTCAAACAAATAACTTCAAGACACCAATAGTAAGACACTGGACATATTCTTGTAACGTGTGGTTTTAGAGGACATAGTCCAAGGAAATCAGTAGGAATAAGGAGGTGCAATCGCTAATGGAGATGACTTGTAATGCAAGGTGGCAGGCGTGAAGGTAACTAACAGCAAGGATGTGGCTCAGCGGTTTACTTGTATGGTGGAGGTGGTGGTGAGGTATACTTATATGGTGGAGGTGGTGGTGAGGTATACTTATACGGTGGTGGTGGAGGTGAAGAGTAGACGTATGGCGGGGGAGGTGGTGAAGTATACTTATATGGTGGAGGTGGTGGGGAGGAGTACTTGTAAGGTGGTGGTGGTGGTGATGAGTAGACATATGGCGGTGGCTTGTAGACATATGGAGGTGGTTTGTACACATGTGGAGGTGGCTTGTACACATACGGCGGTGGTTTGTACACATAGGGTGGTGGCTTGTACACATACGGCGGTGGCTTGTACACATATGGTGGTGGCATGTACTCGTAGGGAGGTGGTTTGTACACATATGGTGGTGGCATGTACTCGTAGGGTGGTGGTTCATGCATATATGGTGGCGACTTATACTCGTAAGGAGGAGGTTTGTGCATATATGGTGGTGATTTGTACTCATAGGGAGGAGATGAAGGTGAGGGAGAGCTATATCCATCATCCTTAGCACTGACGTGAAGAGCCAATATGGAGACAAGTGCTAACAAATGCCATAGTGATGCTTTGAGGAGAGCCATGTCTCCTAAGTGATAGGAACAGTTATGAATTTTGATGAGCTACAAGTTTGCTTGATTTCCAGAAAGTTTTGGGGACTTAATGGAGTGCAAACTCAGTTGAGGTTCATCTGATGATGAGAAGATGATTGTTTTCTCCCTCTTTATATACACAAATTCAGTGATGATTTGTCGATGTAGTCAACTTCATGAACAGTGTAAAGCTTGACGTCCTACAAGTTCTACTGCGCATGCATGCATTATTCTTTTATTAAGGTTCACACGACAGGCATCGTTAGGTAAGATTGGAGGCAAGAATTAGTCAGTTTAATCAGCAATTAGACAAGAATATTCAACTTGGCAATTGGTTAATTCAATACATAAATTATTTTTACTCTGAATACTCTCTCTCAGCATAAATTAAATGTGTTAGAAGCGTTCTTCATTGTTCTCTGCCAGCAAAACCATTTTTGTGCAAGTAGTTTCTCTAAATTTCGTTTGAGAAAATTGATTCACATATGAGTACGTAAAACCTTTTAAGCGAAACCCTATTACATGAACACTTTGTAATTTAAATCTTAAATTTAAATTTTTTACAAAAAAAGTACTGTAGCTCTTAGTGCTATTAAAAATCAGGAAATACATTAAGCTTAGTAGGAATGGAGTTTTTTTTTTTGTCATGACTTTTTTCTTGTGATACAGCTGATTATCTGTCCTGTCCACCGACAAGTGATGTATTCTGCACCATCATCTGCAATATGGCGGGCGGGGGTGCGGTGGGTGGGTGGGGGAGACTGATTCTACTTTCGAGAATTGGCCAGTCTTTGGCAAATAACTAACCCGGGCGACTTATTCCACCTTGACATGATCGCCTGAGCTGTTTGAGGTGAACTTGAAAACTAACCCAAAATTAAAGCCCATAAAAATTGAAAACTTATGCAGAACAAATGAAAGTCACGATTTCACTTGTCAGCAACTTATGAATCTTCACCCACCATGACATGAAGAAGAAATTATATAGTTTCTTGGTGTCTGTAACGAACCCTACCATATTTTAAACAATATTCAGTAATTTTCCCCGAGAATATATATTTATTCTGAGCCTACAAGCCACTATCCATCTGTCGTACTTCAAATGAATTTGAAGCAGTTTTGCTTGCAGATTCACTGTGTCATTGGATCACTTCTTCTGGGATATGCATTCTCTTATATATAGCATCAGTTTTCTGAATGCAAACTGGACTTACAATTATGCTGCAGAGTAAATTTTCATACAGCGTCGGCATATTTTTTTTTTTTAACACTAGCAGACTTAAATTATTATCGCATAGTATGAATTCAAATTTGAAATTTAAATCATATATATATATGATATGCATCTATCCATAATTCATAGCGTAAAAAAATCACTCTATTATCAGTGCATAAAAAAATTAATTCTACTCTATTAAATATTAACTAGTACCTCAAAGATTTATTATTATTATTATTAAGAAGGCATTGACTATTTCGGATTGCGTCTTTCCTAGAAGGCATAGAATTATCATGCATAGCATGGACTTTTTGGGAGAGAAATCACGTCAAAACACCGATATATTCTAGAAACTATTGCAGAAACGCTCATATTTCTTGAAAAAAATTGATGTCGTGATTTAATGAAAGTTAAAAGATTGTTCATCCAGCTAAATTTTGACTTGAGGAAAGGTTCAAAGAACTTTCTTCGTTTCTTTTTCTCACATAAAAAGGGTTGCGGTCCCCTAGGGACTGCGGTTGCAAGGTCTGTGTCAATTGGCCGGCGAAGCCTTTGATTGGTCCACATATAGAAATCCTTCATTTTTCAATCTTTAACGTGAGAGGAGATCGAGCCAACGTAAATTTTTTTTGCTATATCTATGCCAAGTTTCTATTTTTAATATGGGAGGCAGTGGTGGAGCCACATGTAGCTGAGAGAGTGCGATTGCATCCCCTCAATTTTGAGAAAATTATGTTTTAAGTTTAGAAAATTCAGAAATTTTTATAATTGTTTCTTATTTGCCTCCCAAAAATTTTTAGAATTCTCTTTCCTATCATATATTGCCCTCCTAAATAATTGACAGTAGACAAGCATTATCCTTCACAAGGAGATCGAATTCAAAGATAATTTTCACTGCAAATTTTAGGCACAATTTATATGAATGCACGTTTTAACATCGAAAAAATGAATTTTTAAGATTGACATGTTTATTGGTTTTAAACTCTACTCCAATTCTTGTGCTATCGGAGTTTAACCCCCTCCACCACCGATGGAAAGTGTCAGGACTACTGATCAACTTCTCAACACGAAGAGATTAGCAACATACCAACTGAGTCATAATATTTAATCTACAGTAAAATCTAAACACCTCTAAGCCCAACAAAAAAAAAAAAAAAAAACCACCCAAATGTGAATGTGCATAATTCAATCCCCGTATTCTTAAATTACCAAATTCTTCATGTTGATTTTTCTGTAGCTTCTAGACTATGGTCCTTGTGTTTAGTGAATATGTTCGCCCGTATACGTTATTAAAACAAGTTATTCATCATGAGCTGGAATACGACCTAGTAATACTAGCGGAAGATGTGCAAGAGGGACAAGAGAAAAGTGGTGCTGAATTTTATCTCTTAGTACACAAATATTCAAAATTGGCTCTTCATATGAACTATCATCATAACCTATTTTACTCACTAGTTCCAGATTCAAACTCAATTCCGAGTGCTCAATTCATTAACACGAGTACCACTGGTGAAGTCTTGTATTGTTCCTATCAATACCTAACAAATTCCAATTAGGCTAAATTTATCCTTAAATGTGACCTAACGAATATTTCTTTTGGCCAAATTAATCCCCAAGACACCTCAAGTTTTCTAAAATGTATTACTTAGTCCTCAAGCAATCAACAAAATTCTGTCTTATTGTACGATTTAGACCCTGTTTGATAACCCAACTCAACGTTTAAACTTAACGGATTCATATCTTAACATGTTCAAACGTGTTTGATAACAAAAAATTGAACATCTAAATTAATTAAATGACATTGAATTTCCTAGATAAAATTTGCTCCCAAAAATAAGTGATAAACTATTCACTTATTACTAAAGGTGATATACACCGAAATATATTAGATTTAATACTTAACAATTTAATAAGTTAATGGATTCAAACTTTAGATTTCAGTTTTATCAAACACACACTTAGTTAAATGAATAACATGGTCTCTTAGTGAATGAGAAAATAAATTTTTCTAGACTATCAAAAATTGTCACTGTTGTGCATATTGTAGATAACTAAACAACTTAACCATTTCAAGGAATAAAGATGTTCATGTATTTGTTCTCTTTTTGTAGCTGAGTGATTGAACCTTCTTGTCATAGGACATTCATTGGTAAATGTGGAAATGAATCAAAATAATTCCCAGCAATCAGATCTACTTATACAGGATATTGGTGTACTAGTTTGGTATAGCTTAATTTTTTACACCAAAAAAATTACAAATTAAAAGAACTCTGTGTCTCTTTAAAAAGAAACTGCATAAAACAATTAATTGGGTGAAAAAATGTAATGAAAAATTTGTACTTTCCTTAGTTAGGGGGGGTAATTTTCACATTTTTTGCCCAAGCAATTTATCTCAAATTCCTGTAGTTTCTATTGGTTTTTGCTAGCAAAAAAATTAAGTACCTAACAAACCAAAGCAAACAATTTATGGCTTGGAATTGGATAAAGTACGGAGTTGTTTGGATATAAATATTTTTCCCAAATAATGTTTTATGTGCATCATAAAGTTATTTTTTATTTTTTAAATAACTTTTTTATCTGATATACATTATATAAGTGTTAGTATGCTGCACTACTATTTTAAAAAAATTCTTCCCAACAATCTCCTGTCCAAACACTTAAATTGAATAAAAAGCCTTTGACCTAGAAGCAACCGAAGCCCTTCGCACTTGTATCTCCATCAGTAATTCTCAGATCCAAAGATAGATTCCCCAGCCCAAAACCCCATAAACCAAAGGCCCATACTAGTGAATGATTTTTTTTCCCCTTACCTTTTTTTCTTTTTCTCTTTCCTAAATGCCCAGGGGAATAAAGCCTTGATTCACCAGATGACAAATAAATAAGAGAATCTCCAACGGTCGATTAACAAAACCACAATAATAACAATAAGACCCCTTCAACCCCCCTAACGGTCCACTTTTCAGACCGCATTCTCAAGCCACTTCTTCAGCCTTCACCTCACCGCTATAATCTGAGGCATTTTCACTTCACTATTCCATCACAATAAGCCAGTAAACAAGCCAAACTTCTTCAGAAAACTCAGAAAAATCGAAGCTTTGTGTAAAGATTTGAAGCTCCTTTCCTCCCTTTCTTGTAGAGGAAAATGGAGGTAGCAGTAATTGATTGGAAGAGCATAGATTCGAGGTTTGTCAAAGATGAGGTTTATGAGAATATCAATGCTCCTCAATGGGTTGATTTTTCTGCCCCTGATGCCTCCGTTAATGATGAGTCTTGGTTCTGTAGACCAGGTAATATCTGGGCAACAAATAAGTGTAATTTGGCTTTTTGGGTCATTGGTTTTGGAGAAATTGTATGGGTTTTAGTTTCTTGATTTTGAGGTTTCTGGTGTTGATTGTTTGCAGATTGTAATCATCCAAAAAGGGTTGAAGATTTCTTCAAAGAAACAACTCCACATTTTAAGGTTTCTTGACTTCTCTGCACTCTGCATTTCTTGATTTCTATGCTGTATCTGGGTTCTTCTTTTATTTAATGTTCCTTTTTCTTTTCTTTTTTTTTTTTGGAAGGGGGTGGAACCCATTCGGTTTTCAGGCAAAATTAAGTAATAAAAGTAGTTATTTGCAGATTAATTACTGCGTTGAAGATTTATGAAGTGGGTTATTGCTCTTGCTTATGCAATTTTTTTTTTTTTGGGTGGGGCTTTGGGTTGTGGGGGCGGGGTGGAGATTTCAATTAATTACTAGGAAATGGTTTAGAATTCAACATTGAATTTTGA